CCGATGAAACTAGTGTGTACCAAGATTAAAGAACCCATGGTTTCTTCTCTTTTATTTTGTTTTTGTTTTTTTTTAACGCTAACTGTCTTGCCCAAAGAGCGCACCAGCTTTTGATGTGGTTTGCAGCCCTCAGAGCTTAACAAGTTTGAAGTCCAGGGTATTAGCTGTTCTGGGTAGACAGTATGAACGTGCTTATAGAGTTTGTTTAAGAACAGAATTGGGGTTGCTTTGATTCGTGTCCACTACTTTTTTTTTTCTCTTGAAGTCACAAGAGAAGATTGTCTCAGACAGAAATAAAGCTTGGATTCAGCGAGTCAGTAGACAGTTTAACATCTTGATTTAATATCGGTCCCCATTTGCATATATCCTCTCTTTCCTGTGTATTTTGAGTTACATTTTGAGGGGTAATGAGCAGTTGTTTTTTTTTTTTTTTTTACACATTTCCAAGCTGCTTCCATTAGGAATGCAATACTAGGCTTGGGCAGCCTCTGCCGTTTTGATGTTTCTGCTTAAACTTTCCGCTCAGTCCTGCCAGGCACTAACTTTAAAATGTCTTTCTCTTTTCTTTCTTTTTAATTTTTTTTTTAATGGAGAAGGCCTCCAAAAGGTGCAGCTGTGTGTTGGTTTCAACTTGCACTTAGCAGCAGTGTTGGCATCACAGAGCGCACAGAGCGCTCCCATCTCCCACGCACCGCTGGTGCCCAGGAGTGTTGAGGCTTGCCCGACTTAGTTTGGGAAGGGCTTCAGTTGGGAGAGAGAGTCTCTGCTGTTATGTGTGGTTGGTTGTCACCAGGGCCTGCAGAAAGAACAAACAGAAAATGCAGCCTCCATTGTAGTATGAGTGGTTTCTTCTATGACCTAGGGCTCTCTGGTTCAGCGGAGTTCTTGTGAGTGGGAACGAAGGCCGGCCAGACGAGTCTGCCTTTCCTTAGCAATTATACGTGGTTAGGTTCTCCCTTCTCAGACCTTTCGGCTGTTTTTTCTTGGTTTCCTTTTCCTTGCACAATGTTGATTTCTTCCAATGAAAAATGATTTGGCTGAGTGAGACACTGGGCTTGGATGTGTCGGGAAATCCACAGATGCTTCCAGATGCTTCAGACAATGAACTATGGCAAGCTTCCAAGTCAAAGTGCGTTCCTTTTCATGTCAAAGATACCTGGAAATTTTACACCAAATGGAATTTATGTGTAAAATTTAGAAGTCTGTGCTGCTAATTTGTGTTTTGCTTGATAGTCCCAACCTGTATGTATTTTCTGTAGTTTTTTTGAGAACAAATATTTGGTGCCATTATTTTTTTTTCAGACTATGATTTGATCCTCTTATTGTGAACTAATCAACAACTTACCAAGCTTAGTCATTCCCAGTAATTGCTGCTTCCTGCTGCAATCTCTTATGACGAAATCTAATGACAGATATATAGACGTAGTGTATATAATGGAATTAGAGAATAGTTGGGTTTAGGATTCTCGAGGAATCCTAGCACTTGCTTTTGGACTACAGCTTAGAATTCTAGTGCTAATCCCACTGTCTACAGCGGGTGACAGGAACTTGCTCTATTACCTGGGTCTACATAGTTCCGAGAGGAAGCACGTCGAGTGAGAGACCTTATCCTCACAAATAGGAAATCCTGGAATTGTTGTATTCATCGTCTCACCTTGTAAATGTTGCCAAACACTATCAGCTGTTGTGCTTCATGCCTTTGGCCGATAAAGCTGCTTTCGTCTTAAAAAAAAATTCAGCTGGACCTTCACACAGTACAGCTTCCTACATGTGTGTAAGTGATTTGAAAAGACCAGCGTTCTCGTAGAGGTTTTCAGAAACGTCAGTATGAGTGAAACAAAAGATACTTTGTAGCTCAGGATAACCAAAGACAAACAAAAAAAACCTCTTTGCCAAGGAAGAGCGGGAAAGACAAAGGAAGGCAAGAGAGTGGGCTTTTTCCTTTTCTTTTTTCTCAGCTGGAGGAGATCCAGAAGTGCCTCTGCGGCACTTGGAGAACCAACAACTGTTGGGTGCATATTTCAATCACAATCACATGAAATTTTTAATTATCATTTAATTTGGTTTTAATATTTGCCTGCCTAAGTGATCGTGTTGATAAGATTTTGGAAAGAGATAAACTTTATTAAGCAATTCCGATCTCAGTGCCAGCTTTTGTTGTTTTTTTTTTCCTCCATAAAAATGCTTATGTTATATATGGGAGTGGATTTGATGAAGTTAGTCGCACGAGTGCAGGGTGGGTATTTCCTACTTAGCTGTGGGCTTTTGGGTTTGGGGCTGTGCTGAGGTTCCTTAGCAGGAAAACACTGTATTGAATCCTGATTGATAGCATTTCTTAACATCATTCTCTACTGCCAGTTTTCCTTCTAGTGCATACATACAGGGGCAGAATGACCTTCATTTTGTTCAGTGTAGAATGGGGAAGGTCTTTGTGGGAGAGGATACTGTTGTGAGCTCAAACATGAGAGCCAAGGGAAGTGGTTTATAGTTTATCGAAGGAAATGAAATTGTGTGGCCTTTGCTGCTGCTGCTGCTGCTGCTGCTGCTGCTGTGTGTGTGTGTGTGTGTGTGTGTGTGTGTGTGTGTGTGTGGTATTTGCATTTCTCTTCTAGCCAGCATCTTGCTGGGTAGCCTGGGCTATCTTTTAACTTGTGATCTTCCTGCTGTAGCCTCCCACGTGCTGAATTAGAGACCTGTACTTCCAGACAGCTTAATTTTTTTCATTTTACAGTGCTTTTAGTTAAAATGATTATAAACTTTTAATAAACACATTTATATTATAAACACTTTTCAAACACATTTCACATCTGAACATTTAAAACTGACTGCTCTCGTTGCTCGGTTTCTCATAGAAATCACCTAAAAAGTCAAACTTACTACCAACTCAAAACAATTACTACCCCTATTCTTAGACACACCTTGGTTCCAGGAATGAAGTCCTCCACCCACAGCCTTGTACACAGTAGCTGTCTAGAGAATTAAGGCCATATCTACTCTACCTTTATCTTGCCAAAAAGCTAGGGGAATGATGTCATGAGGCAGAGTCTCCCAGGAAGCCAGATGGAGAGCTTTGTAGGTTGCTTAGCACAAATTTTTAACAAAGATGTCTTCATTCTTAGGTCCGCAGGTTCCTTAACTTTTCATTAACAGAATTTGCCTTTACCCGGGTTCTTAGATTGCAGGCTTAAATACTGTGGTCACAATTGCATTTGGCTACTTCAGGCTACATCTGTTAATTAAACTAAAAAAAAAAAATCAGTTGCTGAATTTTGCAGTGGCTGCATTTTATTGTAGAGCAAGCCTGTACAAATGTTTCTCTCACCACAGAAAGTGTCATTGTATAGTGTTGTGATAGTTTTCCTGCAAAATTTAGCTCTTCTGTCATTCTGGTGGCTGTTGTGGTAAGTATAGTTAAATGACAAGTCCCATGGGTCCATCTATACTGGACATGTTGAAATCTGCAGGGGTCTTAGGACAAGGGGTTTTAGGGTTTGCAAAATGACTTCCTAAGTCGTACTTAGTCCTTTGAGGTCAGCATTTAATAACACTGCTTTTATATTCTAAATCTGTTACTAGTCTACATTGATTCTTGGTACTTGCAATGGTTTAATTAGAATTTTTTAATATCATATACATCTTATAATAATTATACCACTAAAACCTCACTGAAACCTAATTATGACCATTTAGTGAAGCATACAAACTGTCCTAGATAAGATGCAAGTTACGAATCATAAACACCTGAAATTACTGGATTATTGAAAGACAAGTTACTCCTGAAGATGTTTTCATTAAGATTCACAACTTTATATTTTGAAGTTTGAGAAATTTGAGGTGAAATATTTAGCTCCCTCTTCTGGCACAGTTTTGAAAAATACTTTTACTTCCATTTTTTCCCTCCTTATTTGAGTGAGAAATATGGTCAATATATTGTCGGGAAGTAATTTGTGATTGTCGTGGCATTAGATATTTGGCAAAACATACACATAACTTATGAAGATACCGTTTATCAAAGTGTTGTATTTCTTGAGACTGGAGAGAGAGTTCAGTGGTTAAGAGCACTTGCTGCTCTTATAGAGGATTCGGGTTAAGTTTATGAATCCACTGAACTCACGAACAACTATAATTCCAGGTCCAGGGACTCTGGTGCAGTTTTCTTTCCTCTACAAGTGCCAGGCACACAAGTGGTACATATACATCATATACATATATGCCAGCAAAACACTCATACATAATATGAAATAAACCGTAAGAGCTTTTTAAAGTATCTTATGTCCTACACATGCACGTGTGTGCACTCACACACACAAAAGCAAAAGTTTTGACAACAATTACACAGGGGTTTAGTTTGTTGTTAGGTGACTACTGGTCATTTGTGTTGCCTGGGCATTGATAGAACTCAGTGCAAGGGTCCAAAAGAACGTCCAGTTGCTATGATCAGCTATTCAGTTATATATCATGATAACACACTATCTCATGAGATTTCTATCTAGTCTCTCCTACCTGAGCTGCAGTTCTTTCATAATAACCTAGAAGCCAGATTTTCTGAGCCCCAGATTGCGCTCTTAAATATCAATGTGCCCAGGACATATGGGGGTGAAGATAGCTGTATGCTGCAGCATCTCTCGATTCTCCCTGAACATCCAAGCTCCAGTCTAGCCTGGAGCCCTTCTACGTAAACCAGGTACCCTAAGACAAGGCAGTCTGTCCTAGGAAAGATGCCTCAGAGGAGAGACCGTCAAAGCTCTATTGTCAGGGCATTCTGGGATTCTTGGTGGGCATTTGGTGAACATTCTGAAAGGGGAAAAACAAAACCCAGGTATGTCCCTGGAGCCCCAACAGTGTGTAATGTGGTAGAGGACCCCCGCCCCCTTAGCTCCATTTTGTGTTTACTATGGATGGGAGTAATTGAATTATTTATACTTAAATATTCTGTATTGTGGTTGAATGCACTTGACTGCCGCACATGAAATCTAATGTTGGGAATTTCTTTTTTTCAGCTTTCACCCTTCCCGATCTGGCTGAGCAGTTCGCCCCTCCTGATGTCGCCCCTCCTCTTCTTATCAAGCTCCTAGAAGCCATCGAAAAGAAAGGTAACCAGACTGCTAGAAGGAGTTAGTGCTAGACCTTTATTTCGTGACTGCTATAATTTATATGTGTCTTTGGGCCACTCATTATGTGAATGTCTTACTGGTTGTTGTGAACCTTGGCTGTGCTAGGTCTCTGTAACAGGGAAGAATCGTGACTGATAATTCCTAACTCTAGAGAAGTGGTTTTCAACCTTCCTAATGCTGCAGCCCTTGAATACAGTTCCTCATGTTGTGGTGACTTCCCCCAGCCATACAATTATTTTCATTGCTACTTCATAACTGTGTCTTGCTGTTTTTATGAATTATAATGTAAATATCTGTGTTTTCTGATGGTCGTAGGCAACCCTGTGATAGGGGTCACAACCCACAGGTTGACGACCACTATTCTAGACTACTACGTAGTTCCTATGTGGGAGCTATTCAATTCTTCCTAATTTAATAAATATGATTAACCTGCTTTTTAATGGCCCACTGGAGTTGCCAAAAATTATTGACAAACTAGATAACAACTAATTGTTGGGGTTGGCTTCCAAGAATATTCAGCATGCATCTAGAGGAGATGCTGGGTGGAAATGAGAATGGCCCTCAGGCAGCAGGCTCACCGAGTCTGCAGAGAACTGTGTTGTGCACACACGGTCTGTTTTGTCTTTCAGGACTGGAATGTCCGACTCTCTACAGAACACAGAGCCCCAGCAGCCCTGCAGAATTACGACAGCTTCTTGATTGTGGTGAGTCACTTCACGGGACTGTAAACGAGGATAAGCTCACCTTTCTGTTTCAGATGGCCCGCCCCCACCCCCATCCACACAACACCTTAAGTCTCAAAGGAGTCCTCAAAGCCTGCACAGTGTCCTCTGCTCAGTGAAGTTAGCCATGCACGCCTTGGCTTGTGGCTCCTGAGTGCAGGTGTGAGTGTGTAAGTGTAAGCTGTGAGCTCTCAACCTTTTCCATCCACACGAGCCCCTGGGTTCTGCAGGAATTTTCAGAAACAATTTCTTGACGTTTATCAGACTCTATCTCTCCCAGGTTCCTCAGCCTTGATTTCGGTAAGCTCTTACTCATATGGGTCACCTGAAAATATTCTAAGCCTGCATCATTTGACAGGTGTCTCCTGGTGTCCTCTTACCCCTTCTCAGGCTCTTTCCCTCCCACCTGGCCTGCTGGCTTTCTTCCTTGCTCACCTGCTGACTTTTTCATGCCATATGTCCATCGAGTAACATCATGGCATTGGGTGTTTATCTAGTAGTGTGATGGTGACCGTACTCTCTGCAGAGGGAAATTACGGGGTGAGAGTATTAGCCCCTTCCTGTGATGTAAACAGCCCAACTGTGGTTGACTTCATGCTAACATGATGTCATTGAATGTGAAGTTGGGAAAAACTGAGGACGTTTGATCTCCTGAGCCAGCAGCCAGCTCCAGCACACCGTTACTTAGGAGACACTAACTTACTCTACCAAATAGTGGCTTTATGTGACTTCCTCTTTCCTTTTCCATACAGGGAAAAGTACTGCTCTCATCCCAGGAAGCTATCTTCTCGTGCCAACTTCTAGAATGTCTTAAATCCTTCATTCATTTATAGTATTCTTTTCTTTCTTTCTTTCTTTCTTTCTTTCTTTCTTTCTTTCTTTCTTTCTTTCTTTCTTTCTTTCTTGTTTTTGTGGTTTTCTACCTCATATTATTTACCTGAATTTGGATATTTAAATGAAAGAGTTGCCTATGTTGTTCTGGGCAAGGCCCCTTCGGAAGAATGCTGGCATGGGAATGCCCACCTGACCCTTACGAAGTAACCATTTGAAGTGGGAAGTAGCTTGAGGCTTAGGCCATTTTAGGGAATTTCTACAAAAGACATTTCGTAGAGAAATGCGACTAGATGCTTATCAGCAAGTGATTTCACTTGAAGCAAACCCAAGCAAATGTCTCAACTCCAGTTCCTGTGTCCCTTGAGCTCAGCCTAGCACACACAGGGCAGCGTACCTCTGGGCTTCTGTGTGTTCCGCCAATCTGCTTGTTAGACTCTGGCTGGTGGAAAAGTCCAGAGTGAGAGCCTTTTTTGTTTTCTGTATTTCTACCAACCTTACCAGGGCGTTAAGGAAATACTGAGTTTTGTGCCTTGCCAATTGAAGTCGGGTTACATGTATTGGTTACAAGAACAAAATAAAAGGTAAAATTGGATGTTTGCTAAAAGTCACAGGAAATGTGAAGACACCAGAAACCGATGAAATTGTGAAAAGTTGTGGTTGAGGTTTTTAATGTGACCAGTACAAAACGTTCCACATTAGCTTTGGGAAAAGTTTTATTTTTATTATTTTTTTCACACCACTCAGGAGATGGCGCAAACCACCAAGATTCACTCACGTCAATGATATATTTTGATGGGCAGCATCCTTCCTCATTGCCACCAAAACTCACATGTAGAAAACTTGACACATTTTCATAGCCACAAAAGAGCAAACACTATCCAACCTTGGGAGTGCATCTGCCAAAAGTGTCCCCAGGTTCTAGACTTTTCAATACCTGGAGCTATTATAATGTCCCAGAGGAATCCTCCGTTTCTCCTGACAAAAAAATTGCTGGCTTTTGAACAATTTTGTAAATTTGCAATGCCAGACAGAGGCGAGGCAAGCAGCCCACTTCTCTTAATGCTCCTTTTGCAGCCGCTCTGGTAGCCTAATTCTGAAGTGTTAGTGACGCTAAGTCCCCAGTAGAGAAAGCACAAGTTAAGCAAATTCACTTAACATGATTTGGTGGGAGAGCGAGCGAGCGAGCGGCAAAGCCCTGGTTTATATCCAGATTATTTTAATTGTCCCTGCCCTTCTTGCCCCTCCCTTATTTTACCCTAAAACAAATTGCCCTCCCCTCTTCTTTTAATCTTCCTTGAATTTTAATGGTCAACACTTCCTCCTGACGCATTTTCGTGTTTTCTCTTAAAGTGCACCGGGTCTGTCTGAACCTGGCCCTCTGGATATGCCGCACTGATAGGAGTGTCAGGTTCACTGCGGGTTAGTCAGCCACATCCCCAGCCTCTACCCACTAGGTGCCAGTAGCATCCACCCCCGAGTCACGACAGTCTAGAATGTCTCCAGATAGTGCCAGTTTGCAGTCTGTTCTACCCCCACGCCCTAAGAACCACTACACCAGATAGAGATCAGTTGGTGGCTGGCTGGCTGGGGACTGGGGGTGGGGCCTCCCAGGGAGCTGACGTGGTATCGAAGGAGCTGGTTACCCATTGGTAGTGCGGTGAAAAGTGAAATGACGGAACACCCTCTCTCTTCACCAAGACAGCTGTGGGTGTCTAGGAGCTGCCAGGGTGGCGTTCATACAGAAGACGTAGCTTGTATTGCACAAGTCAGGAACCCCGGGGCACATGGGAAGTCCCATCTCTCTCTCTCTCTCTCTCACACACACACACAAAAATAATAATAAATAAAACCAAATATACTCCGTCATCAACTCCTGTGGCCTTTGACATGTGGTGAGTTTATCCCGAGACCTGCATATGTAATTTCATTCAAACACTGTGTAAAGACTAGGTAGACCACACACTCTGCATTCTCTGGAGTGAGCATCAGACTAACAGCTCCACACCTAAAATACTTGCCATGCTTCTTGTGTTGGTTGCTTAGGGAGGAAGGAGGAGAGGTACACTCTGTCCTCGAGCCCCCCTAAGTGACGTGAGATACATAATTGCCAGAGTGCTTGCCAAGTCTTCTGGTGAAAGGATTTCTCATCGGCCCTGCAGGAGCACCAAGGAGAGGGCCATGTGTCTCGAGCACCTAGAAGTCTACATATACTGACAAATGGAGGAGCATATATTCTTCAGGATGAGAAATTCGGTGCCACTGACTTTCAAGGCAAAGAGATAGAAAGTGAGGCCCACAAGGGCGGCAGCTAGCGGGGCCAGAAGCTTCAAATATTCTTTGGGGGTTTGCAGTGATGCCCATGTAATCTTAATCAACACTATATCATGTCACTAATAATGACCTAGTTTCAGGCTAGACCCTTTACACAAAGGCCCAATATGGCCCTTGCATATTTGTGAGACTGGGGTGTATCTGGTTAGAATGGGCCCTGTCTGATTAGCCCTTGGGAATATTTCAGCAACACATGTTTTATCTCCGTATCATTCAACTTCTGCAGGGTTTTCTTGGCCTGGTCTATGTGTATTGTACACTAGCCTGATTTTCTGAGAGTATGAAGTGTGGTCACTTAACATCTCGCTCTTTAGTGGGACGAGTTCCACTTAATGTCACGATGTGTCCGGAAAAACTTTCCTGCCTCAGTTTCAGCCCAGATTTGCTGCAGTCTCTCCATGTGTGGGTCATTTCTCATAAATGGTTGGGTGGTGCTTGTGAAGAATTTGACAACAATAGAAGGTTTCCGAATCAAAGTTCAAGTGAAAACCAAACATGTAATTGGCGGCGTTTGGCGTCATTTACCCACGTGCCGCCCTTCACTTCCACCGTATCTTTAGTTTGGGACCTGAAACCTCCGCACCTTGTACTGTGCCTGCTGTCCATGCCGTCAGGCCACAAATACCTCAGTTCAGGTTCAACACTGGTGTAGGGTATGAGTTGTCATGGTTCTCCATACACACAAAGTTCTCCATAGAAACACTGTGATTGAATTATGGGAGACTTTGATATGAATTTTCTTATTATCCTTCCTCAGCATATGTACCTTTTACCCACATGCATACCTCACACTTAAATATATTCTCATACATACATTAGTATATTTTGGGATTGGATTGCGTAAAATTGTTTGTGAAAACGGTTGTTTGAGTTTCTGATTTGAGTTTTTATTTTAAAAAATAAATAAAGTTTGGTTTGGGGTTAGAACAAAATTTCCAGGAAGTTTTGGAACAGCCCTTGACACAATTCTGCCATTTTGGATCACATATTTATGCAAAACAGCATTCCCCTGTTCATAACTTTTAAATAAAAATGTTGATTAGCTCTGAAAAGCACTGAAAGCGCTCTGTATCTTACAGTATCAAATACTAAGCTAAGATTTAATTCTGTATAAGCATAAACAAGGAAATCTCTCATTAGTATGCAAGTTAGCCTTCACCTTTAATCAATGGTAAAATTATATGTGTACCTAAGAATCCTTTTAAAACAGACTGCTTTATAATTTCAATAATTATTTGCTTTGCATGCCTTTACAGACCTCTATATTTCAGGTCATACAAAAATTACTTGGCTACAAAGAGATCATGAATAGGCAAAGGTTTTGTTTTTTTGTTTTGAATTGAAAAGGGGACAGTTGAAGGGGCCCTGCTTTACACGGCCATCTTTCAGGGATAGCCCAAATACTGTCCTCTCTTCACGTAGAACCTTCTTAGCATGACTCTGGTATTTTCTCATCTCCGAGACACCGCCCAGTTCAGCCACACACTGAGTTACATACCTATATTATCTTGCTCCTTATAGCTCCTTCACAGCAGAGCCCTCAGTGCCAGAACTGAAGACAGTTAAAAAAAAAAAAAAAGTAGTGTCAGCCCACCTTCTGAGCACACTGCTCCCCAGATAACTCTCCTCTTGGTCCCTCCTTGCCGAATGCCCTTCTTTTATGGATGCCCTCAGTCACTCTCGTTCTTGGTGCCCCTGCTTTCTAGTGGACCTCAGTTCCTTCCCCACCCCAAGAGCTGTGCCGAAAAGTGCTTTGGGTTACTGCTACCCCTGTTCTGGATGACTTGACCTCCTTTCTAGCTGATGGATTTCTCGGAGAAACTCGATCCTCTTCTCTGAGCTAGGTGGATGCTCTCAGGCTAGATAATAGCAGCATCAGGAAATGCTTTCTGGAACAGTTCGGATTATTCTACAGGCAATCTTGAAACTGATTGCTTAAATGCTGAAGTATCTTGATATTTAGCTGAGCATCCTGTTAAGACTGAATTTTATGTAGCGTTTATCAGTTCAGATTTGAGAAAACCTGGGAGTTTTTCATCTTCCTAATGTGGTTTGAGGGAACATTGGCTGTGTGTGTGTATGTTTGTGTTTGTGTGTGTGTGTGTGTGTGTGTGTGTGTGTGTGTGTGTGTAGATCCAAGACGATGAAGGTTTGCTTTCTTTGAGACTTCTTTCTTGACTCCCCAACAACTGCCCTTCAGTGTCTGTTCACATGGCCTTTCCTTCGTTCACGGATTTCTGGTATCTCTGGGACTTGGTCTTTTCTTACACTGATGCTAGTTAGATTGGTTTCAGGGTCTACTCTAAAACCCTGTTTAACCTGATCACCTGTGCTAGGATCCATCTCCAAATAGCAATGGAGCGTGGGGACTTTGAGTTTCAACACAGCCGCTAGGGAGGACACTAACATATCGGTAATAATGTTAGTATTTTTTGCTGCGCTAAGGAAGGTGGTACCAGCATGATAGCTAAAGTCTGAGCACGCTGGATGCTTATTATGTGGGACAAAAGCTACGTGAAGAAAAGCTGTTCTCTCCAAAATTCAGGAGCCTGCCCTATGAGAAACAGTCTTTCCTGAGCCCTAATTTCTCTTTCCCTCATGTTGCTTCCTTCCCTGGGTCTTTTTTAAAGACACACATTTGGAAAATTGGCCCAATCGAAGTATGAACGCCTGAAATATTTCTTCAATGACTTCTCTCCTAGATGCCGCCTCAGTGGACCTGGAGATGATCGATGTCCAGGTGTTAGCAGATGCTTTCAAACGCTATCTCTTGGACTTACCAAATCCTGTTATTCCAGTAGCTGTTTACAATGAAATGCTGTCGTTAGCCCAAGGTGAGTTTTCTCTCTCCAGACCTCTCCCGCACAGGTGACCGAGATGTAGATAGGTCTGTCATTCTGTGAAGTACTGTGTATAAGGAGAAGGCATTGAGAAAATTCTAAGCTGCCCTCCCAGTGCCTCGCCACCACCCCAGACTCCCTCCTTTTCCACAAAGCGTCTGAGTATTTGACAGAAGAGACTTAGACTTGTGTTGGCTTAGAAGTCAGCCCAGCCCAGGTGTTAAACTGGCTAATTCGCTTCTGATCATGATCTGTTGGGAAGGTCATGACTATCGAAGCCTTAGCCTCAGATTCAGAGACCTAGGACTAGAATGCATGGCGAGGAATCTTCTTGTCCACGGCCCTGCACACCCAGAATGAAACGTCTCGAGGGTGGAGCTCTGTGCAGTGCTTTGGGGACAGGAAATTGTGGTTCGTGACCTTCAAAGTTTAACCTGTGCTCCTTATCTGATGCTCTGAGGAAGCAGCCAATCAGGCTTGGAGCTGCTTGATGGAGGCCAGGCTTCTGAGAGCACACCCTGAACATTTTGTGGTTTTTTTACAAGAAGAGTTTCTTGTATTTCATTTGACTGGAGATCTTTACTTTCTCACAATGCATTTCTTAATAAGAAGGGCAAAGGTCCTAGGTGCCTCTCCTGAAGGTTTCTGTCTGGGCCTCCCTTGGTAGCTACAGCAGAGATTTGAAATGGTTCAAGCATTGGCTCGTCGGCACCTCTACATAGCCTTACTCTGTTTCCTGTATTTCTCTCTGTAACTTGTAGAAGTACAAAGCCCTGAAGACTACATCCAGCTGTTGAAGAAGCTCATTAGGTCGCCTAATATACCTCATCAATATTGGCTTACGCTTCAGTATCTGCTTAAGCATTTCTTCAAGCTCTCTCAAGCCTCCAGCAAAAATCTTTTGAACACAAGAGTCCTCTCCGAGATTTTCAGCCCTGTGCTTTTTAGATTCCCAGCATCCAGGTAAGTGAAAGATGAGAGAAGAAGGTTTGGGGGTATGGTGGGGGGTGGTGGGTGGCCCTAATGACTATTTAAGGGTGTCTGAAGATCCTGGCCACAGATGCACATCTCATGGGGACTTGGTCCCCACACATCAGTAGGATGATATTTGGAGATGGTATTGTTTTTAGGAAGGACGATTCTCACGAACCACCTTTCTTATTTGCAGCTCTGATAATACTGAACACCTCATAAAAGTGATAGAGATTTTAATCTCAACTGAATGGAATGAACGACAGCCAGCACCAGGTAAGGCTTTGCAATATTTGACAGTCACTTGGCTTTTGGGGCCTTTTCTTTGTACTTATACAAGAGTAAGCCTATGTGTAGGTACCATGAAGCAGGTGCTTGAACCCTTGTGTTCTCTCTTCCTTAGTTTCCTTAGTTACAAAAGGAGGCCCATACAGATAGAAACAGTGGTTTCTATCTCCTCTGAATGAATGCAGGTTTCTGGTACAACTGTAACGTTTAATAATATGCTAATTTATGGTTCACAGAAAAATAACAGAGGTGGGCTATGCGGTACATATCAGTTCTTGCAAAATTTAAGCTATCTTGGTTTTAGTCTTACTTTTTTTTCCCTTAAATTTACTAGCTCGAAACAAGTCTCATCACTTAGTTCAGGCTGGCCTTGAACTCACTTTGTAGCAGAGGTTGGCCTTGACCTCAAGCCTCCTTCCTGACTCCACCTTTCTGTCTTACTTGAGCATAGGGCTAGCTCTGTGGACCCGACACCTCTTATGCTTCAGGCATATTTATGGAGTTCGTTTTAGCTGTTGACTTTTTTTTTCTTCTTTTTGGGTTTTTTCTGATACTTATAAAGTGGGTGGGGGGAGATTGATAACTACTATATAATTTAAAGTATTTTGGAGTGTGTGTTTTGGAAGGGACTATGCCGAGAAATGTCTGTCAAAGCAAATACTTTCAACAACACAGGCAACAGGAAAGCAGTGTCGACTGCAGTTGGGGCGAGCCAGGGGCGAGCCAGGTGGTCTAGCTGTTCACTGAACAGGGCGGAGGGTGTCGACACACCTAGAAAAGCAGCGAGTTGCTTAGAGAGTCCAAACAACCTGTGACCCAGTAGCACACAGGGCCGCTCCTTTGGATTCCTAGTCAGCCCCTAGTAGGTGAAGCATAGTTACAGGGCCAGGAGGAGGTTGTGCTTGCCTTCTTCGTGTATGCCTAGACTTTTAAACCCAAGCACCCTGCTTCTGCTCTCTGTGATGGGTAATTCATGCAGATTAGCACGGCTGGGTGAGTAGCCACTGAGACAGAGCGACAGGCTGGGCTTTTTTTTTGTCATGGCCAGCTACGCTTCTTTGCGACTGGATGCAGCAGACTGAGAGAGGCAAGGGCTTGGGCTCAAACTCCACCCCGAAATGACTGGACATAGATGAGTGCTCAAGACGCAAGATTTTGGGAAGGGCTTCTGTGGGAACTGACCCAAAATACTGTACCTGGCGCGAGCGTGATCATAGGGGAGGCAAGTGTGGTATCTTCCAAAGGTTCCAAACCGCAGCAAACAGCGTTTAGTGGGGATACCTGGAGCTGTAGACAGAGTGCACTGGATAATGGATTCAGGAGCCCTGGGTTATGTACAGGAACTGCCTTTGGCCGCAGTGGGTAAGGATGAGAGTGGGGCCTGGATGTGGCTGTGAGCCATTGGACTGCCTACGCAGAGACTAACCACACAGGCTAGGAAGGAAGAGGGCACCAAGAATAGGCAGGCCCTGAGCGGCAACTGTTCACTTCCTCCCGACTGACACTGGGATGCACCCTGGAGAAGAAGCACAGCTGTGCTTTGTCTGCCCTGTAGGGCTTGGGGTGGGGGTGAGGGGAGCTGAGGAGTTGGTCCTCATGGCCTTCTCCGTAACACTCACTCCCTGACCTCATCAGGCAGGTGACAGGGACGCTGAAATCCAGATGGGACTTTTATAAATGAATTGATTACTAAGGTCTTATTTGTCTGTTTGGCAGGGAGGGGTGTTTCACCACTGGGAGTTTAATATACATGGATTAAATGTCTTTTATCAGACTGACTTCTAAGAGTAAGCATGGATCATCGTCCGCTGCTCTCATGCCGTGGCTAATACACAGAAGAGCCTGGCAGCCCCCCCATGTAGAAACTGGCACACTGATTTCAAAGCAGGATTAGTTCCGTCAGCTCCGCTGCTGAGGATGACAAAGATTGAACATCCTGGATTGTCCCAGTATTTGTGCAGACTTTAAAAAAAAATAAAAAGAAAAAGAAAGAAACAAAGAAGGAAGGAAAGAAAACGGATTAAACCAAAGTAATTCTTAAGCCCTATCTGAGCCATTTTTCACTTCATGCAGTAATTTTTCAGCCACCCTGAGCATTGTCTAGGTCCCTTGGGATTAAATGGATACCTCAGAGGTTCTCATGTCACGCTCCACCCACAAGACGGTAGGGGAAGGTAGGTGCCTTCATCCTGAATACCTTTGGGCTCCAGGCTAGCTCCAGCACCGTGATTGGCAGGGTATCCCAGAAAAAGAAATGACCTCTTCAACCCGGTGGGAATCCAGTGCCTCCCCCACCAGTCCAGCATGCAAGAGCCCCCAAGGGCTTTGGAACCTTATCTCCAGTGCATGCCCATAAGTCAGACATATATCTAAGCTGCCACTCTGAACAGAAGGGCGTCTTTAAGGACCTGTAAGTGAGGAGTACAAGGAGGTGTTTGTTCTGTGGCAGATAGACGCGTCTCTGGCTTCTTTGGGTTCTACCAGGTAGTAGTTAGAAAGATAAGGCCCATGCCTGAGGCCAAAATATCACCTTAAATAAGGTCTGTTAAAAAACAGCCTCTAAATTCGAGCTGGGAGTGCACTTCTAAGACAGAGATTTGGAGGTGCAGTTGATGACTTTTGGGGGTAACTGAATAGATAAGTTTGTGGAAGAATACACCCTGAAAAGGGCCTTGAACACCGGGTCCAATTCTAAGTGGAACAAAGGAAAATAGCATTTTGATTTGCAGATGGACAGCAAGCCAGCTAATAAGAGTGTTTGAGGCTCATCTTTAGGTTGTGTGCACACATAGGACATTTGTACACTGCGGTCGGTCCCTTAAGAATGTGTTTCTGCAAACTGGCCCATCAGGCGCTGATGTAAGGCCGCGTTTTAGGTGACAGGGTTCTAAGGTACCACTGGGACCCTGAAGATACAGAGATGAGAGGCTTGCTCTGCTACCGGACCAGTGTATGCCGCAGGGAGATCTGTCCAGGAGCTACCTTTGGGTCCAGCTTGTCCTGTCTGCAACCTTTGTATACCTAAGTTGTTGGAACCATCTCGAACCATGGGGCTATGTTCAGTGTACAGTCAAAAAGCCTTCCGAAGTTTCTAGAATGTAATGAGCTATACCTGAGGGAAGAGCCTATGGACAACAGGGAACAAAGGGCCGAAGGGCCAGGTGGGTAGCTTCAGGAACAAGGTTTCATCAGATGCGCCGTGGAAAGAAGAATGGGTCGCTCTTCTCCCAGGGTTGTTAGGATTAAATGAGCTGACATAAATAAGCGGTGTGGCTTGGTGGGTGGAGTGGCCTGGGTGTCAGTGCTGCTCCCCCTGTCACCTTGCCAATGCGCCTTTGCACGGTGCACAACATGTACAACTGTGCACAGAGTCCCCTGTGCCATCCACTTCATCCCAGTAGGCCCCAGTGTGCCTTCTGTGCAGGTTAAAACAGCCCATTCACCATGTGTGTGTTCTTGATTCCCTGTTCCCTATTCTTCAACTGTCCCATGGGCTTTTTTCAAAACTGTTAGTTTAATTGGTTTGGCTACATCTCTAAAAGGCAAAGACAAAAACTATCTCTCATTTTGATCCCTTCCAGTTACAGATCTGAGCACAGACTAATAATTCTTCAAATATACTCATAAAACTGATAAACTTGGGTTTTCAAAGAAATTTTAGAAACCAGCTCATTTTGTGCGCCCAGCGGCCCTTTGAGGTAAAGATTTCTTGCTCTTATGGAAGGAGGCACAGGTGTGGCCAGGTGATACAGAGAGTGTGTTTTCAGAGTTCTGTTGTTAGCTTGCCATTCCCTCTGTTGCAAGAAGTCCTCAATATGTTTAAAGCTGAGTGGCAGGCTTTCTGGAATTTCTTTTACACTGCCCAGACATGGAGAACTAAACTGATCTCGCCAGGGCAGCCACAGTAGGAACAGGTCCAGTGAACACAGGGTACCTCTGAATACCACCCATACTTTGGATTTCACGGCCGTCTTCAGAGATGCTAATGTAGCATAATTGGAGTCTAACATTGCACCCTCAAGCCTGGAGGAGGCAACAAGTGGCTCTTTCTCCCCCTGTCCTCCTACACCTGTCAGAGTTCATTTTTAACCACTGGCGCATTGCAAAACATCCCTCCTGAAGAGCGTAATTCATGCATCGTGTTTGAAAGGCTCTGGGCTGGGTTTTCGGCTGAGGCGCAAGCAAATGCTAAGACCAGAGAAATGGTTTACTTTTCTCTCAATTCCCCCCCCCCTCCCATTGGGTTTCAAATGGGGTCTGACCTGAGTTGTTTCAAAGGAAAGGAATGAAACTTTGAGAAAGATGCATAGCCTGAGAGAGAGGTAGAGGTGAATGGAGGGAGAGCCCAGCTCCATCCCATTAAAACCAGCCAGTTTTACTCAAAGTCTGCAGCAGCATTGTGAGCTCTGGCCACGTGCTGGCGGACGGTTTTACTTTTGTTTTCAGGGCACAGCCTTCTCTCTCAAGGGACAGGATGGGTGGGGGGAAGTGGCCCTAATCAGTGGGGAAAGAGTTCCCCTCTCCACTAGACAGTGGGCGTGCCTTTGCAGAAAGCTCTTAGCCTGCCTCTGACTTTTTGCGTATGTAAGCCTGGGTTTGTTTATTAACTGGAGGATGTTCTTCGTTGTTAGTGTGTGTTCTTTGAGACCCCAGGACATGGAGTTATAGATTTACCTCCTACTGGATGGCCCTACTTTCTAAGTTGTGTTCTGTTAAAATTATGAAGGAACTCATTCCTTTTTACCGTCAAAGATTGCGATTCATTGAGTTTTTTTCTGCTGCCTCCTTTTCCATGGCTTTTACTCTTTAATAGTGGTGCTTGGAGCCCTTTGAAAAAGAAGCAAGCTTTCCAGGTCTCAAACCATGGGTCCCTCCATGCGTGGAGAGGACTTGTTCAGGGCAGAAACCATGTCCCAGAAGTTTCAAACGCATGCTAATGATCAGAAAGTTTCCTGACTCGGCGCATTCTGCTGCAAAGCAGGATCATG